GGGGGGGGGGGGGGGGAGAAGGGAGGGAAAGGGGGATAGCAGGTATTACTTTGTGAAAGACAGATAAAAACAAGCAAATTATAAACGTAATTTAAAGATAGAATTTATTCTCTGATGGTTTAGTCATGCAAACTGTACATAAAAGAAAATAGTACAGTTTGTGTAACATCGCAAATATAAGGACTCAGAATGCTAGGTACAGAAGTAGTGTGACAGCCTGGAGGTCACAATGGACATTTTTGTGTTTACACAACTAATAATAATTTTTATTTGCTGAGTACAGACTGATTTACAATGAGAGCTTTGTCAGCCGTGGTAAGTTCATTAACCATTACATGATTTCTCACATCTATGTACTTCTACTTTACAGTTGCAAGGATCTGTTACCAAAGAATTGAAGCTTTCACAAATCGGAAGATGAAAGAAAAATGAGAGGGCGTAGAGAGTGAGACATGGAGGCTTTGACCAACCCTATCCATCTACAAGGAAAAGAGCTTGCCTGGAGAATTCATGTTTTGTGCCTTTGAGATCAATTCCTTAGCATAACTATGACAAAAACCATGATTAAAACTGATTACCTTAAATATGAGATCAGGTTCAAAGTAATAGACACAAGTAGAATCAGCAACCAAAATGCTCTCATTTTTAATAAGCCAAGTAATAAAATTCCTATTATCTTCATACTTAAAAGTCCTGAAATGTCATTTATATAATTTGCATGTTTCCCAGTCTGGAACATAGGCAGGTGGGATGGGGATTCCCCTGAACTCTCAAGGGTACTCCACACAGGCTTTGGAAATGTCAGTCTCATTAAGAGATGGCACCGAGACCATAGTGATAGTGTAGTATGGATGCAGAACAGACTACACAACTTATTATAAACACATTACAGGTATTTACAGAATGGAATCCTGCTTTAATGCCAGAAGTTGCTACTGGGTAGGACTCAACTATTTTACAAAGTTTTCTTACACACATCTACTACTTTTTTTATTTTTATGTTTAACAATTTAGTCTATTTAAAATATTGTACTGTATTTTTAACGTAACTGCAGAATAAAAATAGATAATGGCACATTAGAAAACTCAGTATTCCACAGGTGACTGGATAATGAGCAAAGTGTAACTACAATCATCTCATCAGAACAAGCTACATCATGGAATGTTAGTTATCCAAGCCTGCACAGTAATGGCATCTGAAACTGCAGTCATCTATTGCCAGCATCACACCGAAGGCATCGTTAAACATTCAAGCAAAGATCGCTGGCATAAACTATTGGAAGATGCACACACATACGCACATACACACACATACACTCATTCTCTCACTCACATTCCCACATTATAATTACATTGTTCTAAAGATAGATACTGATTTTTTTCCACGAGAAACATTATCAAAATTGGCTACTAAAAGATGACAGTGCTTTCACAAGAATAGGTACAAGTTAGCTCGCAAGTACAAGTACGACAATGGGGGAAACAGTCTTAAATTTCTAAGTCATAATTTTAGGCTTTTCTGGCAACCACATCATACTTCATTATGCATAAACTTCTCACTTTGTTACCTGAAATCTGCAAAACAAAACAAAACAAAAAAAGAAAAAACACACACACATTCAACAACAGAAACCAAACAAAAACCCCAAAATGACAAGAGCAAATTTTAAAAATTACTAGACATCTGATAACCCTGTATCATACATTATATAATTTCATAGTTTTCAGCCTCAAGAACACAGGTTTAAAATACTGAATTTAAGACTTAAAAAATCAAGTCATTTTTGAAATGCTCAAGATTCCAAAATTTTTGTCTACTTAGTCTTAAAACCATTGCAGGTGGTGAATGACTTTGATTAGTATAAGAACGTGCGTGAAGCACTAAAGTCTTACCATACTTTCATTCACTTAAAAAAAAGTGTTTCTAATAGTCTTCCTTTTGCATAATGTGCAAAATAAAAGGCAAAAAGATTAAAAGGAACTTTTTGTCTTTTCTTCCCTAGTGCCTTACAACTTTGTTCATATCACAAAGTCAATAGGGACTCTGCAAAACTTTGGTATAAATGATAACAAGACTACCATCACAGCTCAGGGTGAAGGAAGGGGTGGGCAAAGAAATGGAGGTGGGGAGAGTGATTCAGTTAACACCTCCATTTATTAAAACACCGCTAAACCAAAGTGAAGTAAACCACAATGGATTATGATACAATTTACACATCAAGCACAGAAAAATTAATAAATCTAACATTTATAAAAAAAAAAAAGCAGAATCAGTCTTCCAGAGACTAAGAACTTGTTCAGTCTGATCATCTGCTACACCAACTCTAGAGCCAAATATAACTTCAAGTTAAAAAAGAAAAAAAAAAAAGAAAAGAAAAAAATTTACAACCACAGATTTCGAATAAATGCAAACTGGTCTTTCCTTGATTTCCCTTTGAAGTCACTAATCAGTATCTAAAACTGCTGCACTGAGGGTCTTTAATCAACTTCCTGAGGGCTGTGGCTGGGAAGAAGGAGCCATGACCATCTGGGAAAGTGCAGGCTCTGTGCTCTGGTCCGCCATCTGGGTAAGGACTGACGTGGCCACAGCTTCTGCCTTTGACGTCGAGCTGACTCCATTGGATGTGCTGACAGAGCTGTGCTGGATTGCTTCTGTATGTGGGCTGCTTGGCACGGAAAGATCCTCTGAACTGTCATCTTTATCAGCAGCTGAGTGGTAAAAAGAAAAATCATTTGTTTTTTTAGAAGTATTGACAAAAGAGCATTACTGAGTTGAAGCCCCACAAAAAAAAAAAAAAAAAAAAAAAAAAAAAAAAAAAAAAAAAACTGGAAGGTGTTTTACAGTACTAGTTACTCAGAAAAAGCTGCACAATTGAAATAAACTGAATAGTGGCTCCAGACAGGAAGTGTGTCTGAAATAGGCCAAATGAAGGAATAACTGTGTATCACAGGATCATACTTGCTAGACAGGGTCAAAGAAAATGAGGTAGAGCAAGGTAGGTGTGGTATATATTTAACCCCAGCATTCAGGAGATAGAAGCAGACAGATCTCTGAGATCAGGGCCAATCTGGGCTACATCACAAGACTCTGTCAGATAGCAAACAAAACAGCAATAAGTAAGAGGCATATCTTTCCATACATTTATAATCCCAGGATTCTCCAGAGGCAAGACAGAAGGATTGCAAGTTTGAGGACAACCTGGGCTACAGAATTCTGGGACAGCAAGGACTACAGAGCAAGCCCTGGTCTTAATACAACAACAAAGTGAGGTAAGCTTCTGGAATATAGCTGCTCAGATATAATCAGCACAACACACTTAACGAGTCTATCTGCCTACCTGTCACCCTTATTAAAAAATAAAAAACAATTTATAACCACATGCATAAACAAAATGAATTTTACAAACTATATTTTCAATTATTCCCTCTGCATTTACCAGAACTGTATTTTTTTTCTGCTTGAATTTCCATCTACTGTAGTCATGGGTGATTACTAATGATGCACACACAGGAGGATAAGTAATATTCAAAGACTAAATGTCACCAGCTGTTAGGGCTATACAAATTAACTGGGATTCAAACACACACCCATTCAAAACCTAGGATACTGAAGCAGAAGAAACATTCAGGAAAAGGCATTCTAAGTATTTGTGGAAACAAATTTACAATGTTTAGACCTGAATAACAAATCTCTTACATCTTATTTTAGTAGACTAGAATTTTATTCAGTGAAAATTAATACTTAGCATAGATAAAGATGTGCTACCTCTGCAAGTTCTAGATACAATGATAACCCATGCAGTGTGGTCCTGGCATTTGTGTTCATTGACAGCTTGTCAAAGACACTGCTCTTTCATTTTCACATGCAGTCACTCGCTGGACTTTTTCAATCTGCTCCGTGGGCTTCTGGATTTGTCACAGTAGCACATAATCCCTAATGATACAGCTTAGTTTTGTTTGCCGCTTTACAACGTGAAAACCATGATACTATATACATTCTCATTTTTCCCTCCTTTTAGGTTTTTGAAACAGGGTCTTACTATGGAGCCCAGGAGAGCCTTAAAATCATGGCCAATCCTCCTGCCTCAGCCTTCTAGGTGCTAGGATTACAGGTGTGTGCCGACATGCCCAACTTGGATGTTTTCTTTTCCATGTGACTTGCTTTAGATAAGTGTTTAGAAAGTACTCAGGCTTTCTAGTAAATGTGAGAATGCAGACCAGTGTACTTACTGATGAGCCAGATGTCTAGTGACAATGGACCTTATGGAACAATTACCACATGATTTGTTATGTAGAGGGTAGAGAGTAGGTACCTTGCAGAAGGAGAAATACTTGGCAAGTATAATGAGCATAAATAAAATGGCTCATTTTGAGAATTTTCTGAAATATAATAGTTCTTATAGAATTTATATATCAACCTCAAATCCATGTATTTTTAAAAGCAGATTTTAAAATATATTAGTGAGATGAAATCCTATCTTTTCCATAATGTGTTGTAAGTAGAAAAACGTTTCCCTGAATCAAATCTGACCTCAAACGTATGAATCAGAAATACTTTAGGCAACAATGAATACTGTAACATATTTATAATTCTATTCTTTCACCTATGTAATAGTCACATGTTTAAAGAAAACACTGGCAATAACAGTTCAAATGGAGAGAATACTAAGAATCACTTACTTCACTATTATTCTTCATCAAAACAAACTAACCCTTTGTCTGAATGTCTGGTACTAGAAAAACATCAGCTCTCAAGGCAGGGAGGCTGAATGGTAATATTGTAAGATACAAAAATATATAGAAGAGAATGACTCAAAATGAAACAGTTAAAGGAGTGCGTTATCTATAGATTCACAGATGGCTAAAGTACATCTTTAGGCAGTACAAATTCAACCCCTCTCCCTCTCTGATGTGTTTGAGTGTGTGGAAGCCAGAGGACATTTTTGGGGAGTTGGTTCTCTCCTTCCAACTTGGGAAGACAGGGTGTCTTTTCTTGTTTGTTATGTGTACCACAGACTAGCTGGCTTGAGAGCTTCCAGATGGTTCTCCTGTCTCTTTCTCCATAGATGCTTAACAACTGCATCTCGCTTTTTTTTTTTTTTTTTTTTTTTTTTTGTTCCAGGGACAGGACTCAGTTGTCAGGTTTGTATAGCACATGCTTTGCTGCTCAACCACCCAGTTAGCCTGGCAATCCAATTGTTTATAAAGTTCTCTACCTATGTTCATACATATATTCATTAATAAAACCTGCTGATATTCAATTAGGGCTCAAGAAACTTCCATTTACAATTATAAAGACAATAAAATGATTTAAATTACATATACTCATATCTAGAGAACATGAATCCATACCAATAAGATCATGAATATAAATATTAAAGTTATTGTGATTTTTTTCAATCACGTTTCATAACAATTAGGGTGGACAATACTCAGTTTTCCCCTAACTGACGGGCTTCTTAGGGTGTGGTACAGAACTTTCACTGCTGAATCTCTCAATTAGGCAATGTTTCAACTGAAACCTTGACTGCTAGTACTGCCACTATTATCTAAGACATTTGTAGTAACTTCAAGTTTCATTAAAACTAGCTTTCTTTCACAAATATTTTAAAAGATTTAGCTGGAAGTGCAGCTCACTGCAACTGATTTTGTGTATTACATTCAAAGTGTGGAATTTATTTCTTCAAGATCTATTTACCTAATCTCTACTGTTACTTGACTACTGACAGAAATCAGATTTATATCAAAATTTAAAGTAGAGTTTTAAGCTGGGCATAATGATTGACATACACCTTTAATCCTAGTATTTAAGAGGTAGAGGCAGACAGATTTCCGAGTTCAAGGCCAGCCAGATCTACAGATCGAGTTCCAGGACAGCCAAGGCTACATAGAGAAACTCTATCTCAAAAAACAAACAAACAAACAAACAAACAAACAAAAAAACCAACAAAAAAAACCCCAAACCAAATAAACAAAAAACGCACATTGGTTTGTATTTATTGAGCATATATTGCTTGCCTAATAATTAAAATAGTTGAGATTATCCAATCAGTAATAAAAGATTTTAAAGCTGTATTTTCAATTAAATACAATATAAGAGTTAATTTCCTTCTAATTTTACAAAATCATTCATATATTTCCTTTTACATCAAAATCCAAGGCAGTTTTCTTACTGGAGAAAATCATGTGTGCATAATGTTGAACTTAGTAGCATCTATGGGAAATTATGCTGTTAAGTCAGATGGGAACCGTAATGGGCCTCATCCCTACAGCAATCACTATTAATACAAATCCCAAACATAGTGCTATATGGTTCCAATTTACTCCACAATGTGTTTCACCGTCCTCTCAAATGACTAGATATCAAATAACAGAGATTTATATGTTCCAAACAGACAAAAATCAGTATTCTAAATATATAAGGCAATTGAGAGTAGCTATGTCTACTGAATCTTTTAAATTAAAAAATATTGCTCATTTTGATGAAACTGCTTACAATTGACTACAAGAAAAGATGGTAGCCATTAAGTTTTATTGTAAGTACCTGAGGAACCGTTTGCATCCAATACAAAACGTTTCCTTCTTTTGAGTTACTGACATCGGCAAATTAAAATGAAGTGGATACATATGGTTGAAACAATCTTCACATTTACAAATATCCTGAAATACTACTAAATCATAAAAACAAAAGGCCGTGGGTTATGTATTATAAATGTTGCCTAATGCATCCCCAGCTCTGTTATTTGTTATGAATTTGTATGTGACGGACAAAATTGGCTATTTACTCAGGAGTAACAGCTGGTTCCAACACTGCATCTTGTGAAGAAGGACATTAGAGAAAGGAAAAAGCACAATTAACCTCCACAAAGCTGGAAACAGAAGAATCTCATGGAGGGGGAGGCACATTTAGAAGAAAATTCATAAGCAAATAATTTCAATACTGTTCTGTTTTAGTATTTTTATGACTAATGTGACAGTACCACATAAAACTTACAAGCACACAGACATTGTCCAATGCTGACATTATCTATAAAAGAACAATAGGATAGGATACTATAAATGGAGAGTATATGGTTGAATGAAGATAGTGGATTAAAAAATTCTCATCATTACTAAATGGGGGCAGCAAAGGAAAAACTGGCTCTGTCAATTCAGGATGTGTCAACATATGACAATAAATGATCACTGATATTAAACAGTATACTTAAAAATGTTTAGTTAACAACTTATGATCCATACTAATGCCTAGAAAAAAGCTAAAAACAGGAAAACTTTTCTTCTTCTTACCCCAGACTATAATAATCTTGCAGAAACCCTGATATTTAATCTTAAGTACTACCACTGCAGTCTGCACTTTTGTACTGGTAGTACTGCTCACTCTGGCAGTCTGTCACTGATACAGCCTACAGCTGTAGGTAATGGAACATTACTCACTGTGATAGCCAGACTTCTTCTGCATGGCGGTTACAGGGCAATCTTTATGAGCCAGAAGAAGCTGTTTCAGCTGTGCCACTTCATTTCTCAGCAGGGTGACTTCGCTCTGGAGAAGAAACAGCTCATATGCCTTACCAGCATTAGATAAAACTTATTTTACTATTTAAAGAAAGCAAAGCTTAAGGCATGAAAAGTCTATCTTTTTGGCAGAACACTAAGGGACATGTACTATTTAAATAAATTTAATCAATATCCATCAGTTTTGTGTCTTAGCATTTATACTAACTTTTTAGTGTAGAGAGCTGAAACCATATCAATACCATAACTGTGCATCCTAGCTCACCATTGCCATGGAACCCTTATGCACTGAGGGTCTTTACATGTTATATGCACTTCTGATTATTTGAAAACTTGAAAGGTCAATAATTTGGATGAATTTTCAATGATTCCATTGAAAAAGTTCATCCTGGAAATGTAATTAAGCAAGTTTATATAGTTTAGAAACAAAGAAATTACATTTATTCAAGAAAACTTGCTGAGCACTATGCAGGGTACCAGAACTAATGAAAGTGGATGTACTGTTAAATGTATTTGTTGCCTGTGATACACACATCTAAAATAAATTCATCTAATTTAAGAAATTAGTGATCATTTACCAACACTCATGACTTAGAAATACTATGGATTTAATAAATTAGCATTAAAAATTCACTATAAATGTTTCTTCTTATCCGGATTTACATGAACTCTAATCATCTAGGTTTTACCCATGAACCCCAAAGTATTAATAAGTGAGAATATTCAGCACACTGGCATACATAAAATTGCAGGCACATAATCCACCAACACCTCTCTTTTTGAGGCAGGGTATCATTGCATCCCAGGCTGGCCTCTAAACCACAGCAATCCTCCTGCCCTAGGCCTGAGTGCTGGGATTACTATTAAGTGTTTACCACCAAACCCAGCCTCTACTCTACCTCTTAAACCAGAAAGCTGAATGTGAACTACTTTAGCAGATTAGTCGTATTAGGCCTTCCTAAGTGACTGATGACAAAAACAAAATCATGAGAACAAAAGTTAAGCAATCTGAAAAATGACTGTGCAAATAGTCTTCTACACCCCTATAACACTGGCAACAGCGTACTAAAGCACAGAACAAAACTTTATGCTAGTATAACCCTAATCAGTAAAAGGTTAACGTAAATTTAGAATACTTTATTTAAGAATAGTAGTGGGGGCTGGAGAGATATTTCAGTAGTTAAGAGCACTGGCTACTCTTTCAGATGATTAGAGTTCAATTGCAGTTCCAGGGGATCAAACCTCTCTCTCTCTCTCTCTCTCTCTCTCTCTCTCTCTCTCTCTCTGACAAAATACACACACACACACTCACACACACAATGACAAAACAACAATGCACCAGGCATTGGTGGCGCACACCTTTAGTTACAGCACTCGGGAGGCAGAGGCAGGTGGATCTCTGTGAATTTGAGACCAGCCTGGTCGTTCCAGGACAGCCTTCAAAGCCACAGAGAAACCCTGTCTTGAAAACAACAACAACAACAAAAAACCCAAAAACCAAACCAAAACAAAAGTGCAACTAAAAATTTAGAGGAATGGGTGGCTATAGATTCCTCTCCAATAAATATGACTTCACTAGCACTGAGTAGGTAACTGGGTTTTTCAGTATCAGACACGGTCTCCCTCTTGTTAAGTGGGTCTTAAATCCAATCAAAGAGCTACTGGTTACCATCATGGTATGCCCCTATTGCACCATTAGGTTAACTGTGTTATGCTGATCACTGATGTGGTTTCTAGGTGTCATAGCTGGATTAAGACTGTTGATTGCTTCCCTGCTTTGGAAGCATGTATGGCACCTTCTGGTACCATGAAAGCTAGTCTTCAGGGAAGCAGCATTTAGGTCAGTTCCAGCTCAGGGGTCTCTGGGCCCTAGCTCTGAAGTTCAGTGTCTTAGCAATAGGGACTTACCTTCCACCTCTTGGGGGTGAGAGGGAGTGACCAAGTGCAACAGCAATAGACTGTATGTTTTGTGAGTCTCTTGGAAAGCCCTGGACAATAACTAAAAAGAGGGTATATCATGTCTGGTATTGGCAATGGTTTTTAGTTCTTGGAGGAAGTTTTGTTCACTCAGATGAGAAAGGTTCATTAAAACTATGTATGCATATAAAAACAAAAAAAAACTATATTCATACACAGAGTATATAGTTTTGGGGGATTATTTTTTAAAAAAAATAGTTAATAGTTTAATTGCTTGTAGCTTTTCCAGACATCCTTATCGTTATTTTACCTACCTCTCTCCTTTTGTATTGACTGTCCTCCCAATTCCTAAAGAGCTGCCCTTTCCCACTTCCCACATCAGACCACTTGAATACTGCTATCCTCCTCTATTCCCCCTCCACCTCTTCTGTATTTCTCTCCCTGCCTCTCCCAAAGGAGCCCCTCCCTTTTCCCATATCCCTGATCAGACTGCTTATACCCTCCCAAACCTCCCTCACCCATAAAGTCTCACCAAGATGACTGTCTAAATGTTAGCGGAACAAGAATGACATCAGTGAACATGCCAAACATGAATGGAGAAAAGACCCCGCCCCTACCTCCCCTTAACTGTACACAAAGAACTACCGGCAACTAAAGAAAACTGGGAATGGGAGAGATGGTGTTCCTAAGGAAAGAACATACCAGTTGTCTGTCCAGTATCAATGACTCACCCTTAAAAACATACATATAGGTAGCATTACATAGACTCAACAGGTTATATTTAGAAACATACATATATGCAATAACAATTAGTTGAAAAAAAAGAGGCCATGAATTTGAATGAAAGTGAGGGGTATATTATGGCTTTAGAGGGAGGAAAGGGGAGAGAGAAAAGTAAAAAAAAAATGTTTTTATTAGGAACAAAAAGATAATTTAAATCACTTAGTTAACATGAGTATCTAAAAATATAACAGTAATTAATATTCTAACAAGTTTGATCTATGTATAAATAAGTATGTATAACCTGTTTCATACTATTTAAAACAAAATTAATTTTATTCTAAAAAAGTGTGGAAGTTTTTGAGTAAAATTCATTTGCCATGATGACAATAATATATACTAAATCCTAGTATATATTTGGAGTTTATGTTGTTTAGTAAGTCACTATTAATCTGTTTTTCAAGTTATTAAAATTAGATGGTTAAAAATAAGTTTTGTAAATAACAATCTATTTGTTCTAAAATAACCATATCAATATGCAAAATGCAGTGAAGGCTTTTAAGGATGTCTGTCTCACATAAGAAAATTTGTTAGAAAACTTAGTTTGGGTAAATGCTGTACAGGATAGTAAAAACAGTTTCCTAAACACTTAAATAATTACATTTGTGGCACTTTGCAGATAGGTTTAAGAAACAAGCAAGCGTCTCTCTTACTATTAGTTGTGTTTATATAGGAAGATTCACTTAAAACTGGGAATGGATAATTCAAATGATTGATCTAAATCACATGCTCACAACACTAGCTACTTGGAAAGCTGAGGCAGGAAGGTCTTCAATTTGAAGCAAGCTTGGGCAATTTAGCTCTCTTAAGCTAAAATTTCTAAATAATAAAGAAGGAACCAACTAGTGGCAGAGTGCTGAGGCCCTGACTTCAATTTCTAGTACTGTTGACCAGTATTAATAAACTACAAATTTATTAACATTAATTTCCAGTTAATTGGTAGTTCAAAAGAGACTACTGGAGAATATTCACAACATCAAAAGCAAAATAATAAAAACAGGAAAGAAAGGAAGGAGAAATGATGGAAATAATCACATTTGGTGCTACCTGATACTTTTATTGGAAATCTTACCAAAGACTTGAATGGGGAAGAAGCCTTAAAATCTTTATACCACATGAGGTCCTAAGAAATGTATCTGAGGCACATCGGCAGTGCAGTATGAAATCATATGTTCTGCCACTGGCCAAATTGTACCTGTTCTGTGGATAATTAGAATCCTTCAGTTTCCAAAGCTGTCAATCTGGCACCTTTCATGATCACTATATTCACTTAAAAAAAAAACAAAAAAAAAAAAAGAAGAAGAAGAAGAAGAAGAAGAAGAAGAAGAAGAAGAAACAAAATAAAATTGTAATTCAAAGAAAGAATGTAAAAACTGCCACTGAAACAACTTATGGTTAACAAACCAAAAACAAAACAAACAAAAACCAAAATAAAACAACATCAACAACAAAAAAACCAGTGATATTTTTGAAGTTTTTGAGAACTAAACTTCAAGCAAGGTAAATAGGGTATTTGTGTACCATACAAATAAACAGACATAAAATTTCTTCACTGTGCCAGCACTGAAAGCGTGGTATTTCTTCATGTCATCATTCACAAAGGTTTAGGAGACCATGGTTTACTACAGAGTCCACATACATGCAGTATACATCATGTTCTAAAATGTCTGAAGGATGGAAACTATGCTCCTAACTAATAAGCACAAATTAAGTGTGCATTTATGCGTCATACCTGGAGCTGGCCATTTAGTGAACTCAAGTCTTCTGCTTTCTTCTCTAACGACTGAACCCAGACTTTCCTTTTTTGTCGGCATCTTGAAGCTGCTGCTCTGTTTCGTTCTAGAAACTTTCTCCTTTTCTCATCAGGATCTTCATTAGCTGCTCTCCTTCGACGGCCACTTGTATTTTGGGTCTGTGGAGTTGTATGAGCCGGAGAAGCCTGTAAAACATGAAGAGAAGCTTGTGACATTATTGTGTAGTGAGTAAATTAACACAGGCAAGACACAGTATAAAAGGGAGAGTGCTGCTAACTTCATGTTGTAAGACTTGATGACATCAGTACTCTGGAACAACATGGAAATCATCCGGTGGATGAATTCCTTTTAAATAATTAAACTATGTGATAGCAAAATGTTCAATGCAATATACACGGAATGTCTTAAAGTATGTGTATTTTTTACTGTCTTGCTAAAGGGATATAGCAATAAAAATGACTGACAACATTCTGTTATACTCATAGATCCATGCCTTGTTCAGCCATCATCAGAGATGCTTCCTCCTGCAGCAGATGGGCACAAATATAGAGACCCACAGCCAGACAACAGGCATGCACAAGGTTTGCCAGGTCTGCACCAGATGGAGTCTTAGAGATGAGAGAAGTAGACATACACCCCTATCCCTAACCCAGAAGCTATCCTTAATTGCTAGCCACTTGCAAATGAAAAATTAGTTTTCTTCAATGGAGTCTCACTGGAGAAACAAAGTACTCCCAGGGGTACACTGCATGCCCAGAGTAGATGGCCAACACAAAACAAACTCAATGGCATCTTTGGAGGATCTTTGTCTCAAATGTCAAGTCAGGGAATCCCATTTTATTTTTACATTATAGTCCTTTGTGTATATTATGGCTTCTAGCTTTGGGATTTTATGGGATTCCTGCGTATGTGAATGTGTATCTGTGTCTACACGTGTTTCTCGGTCCTACTCTGATTTGTCGGTTTTTGATTTATCTTATTATTATTCCTTAGATGCCTGTTTTCTTCCTTCCATTTTTTTCTTCTATCTTTCTTCCTTTTTTTTTTTTTGGTTGTTTTTCTTAAGACAGGGTTTCTCTGTGTAGTCCTGGAACTTGGTCTGTAGACCAGGCTGGACTCAAAACTGTGTTTGTTTTCTAGTGAAAGAAAGGGTATGCATACAAATGTAAGAGGAGGTAGTGAGGAATTGGGAGGAGTAATAGGTGGAGGGGAAAACATAATCAATATATTAGATATATAAAAAATCTATTTTCAATAAAGAAAAAATGCACTGATAAACTTTTAAACTGATTTTATATCCATTAAACCCTTTGAAAACTACTCACTATAAGTTTACAAACATTTTTCAACTCTATTTTAAAATAAAATTTATTAAATATGCCAGTTGTACTAAAATAAATAGTTATTTTAATAATAATACTTATTTTACAGGTAAGGAGAAGTCCATAGGGCTTTGATCTTCATTATTGGTCAGCCTGGTTATCTTGGTTATCACCCCAGGACATAAATCTTCAGCCACTAATCACACTGTGTACTACATAGGACTATCCAACATTAGGGACCTTCAGAGTCTCTTACAAATCCCAAACTGTGCCACAAAATATGCAGCATGGGAGACAGGAAAACAAAACTCTGGAAAGAGAACTTCAGACTACCAGCATGTGATCAAAAAGAGAAACTTGAAAAATTGTTTTACCTATTATTAAGGATACTTTAAAATAGCATGACCAAATAAAACATGTATTTATGAATACAATAAGCACAAAATGGGCTCAGTAGGCAAATAACCAACTATTTCTTACTCTACCTACCCTTAAGATATAAAATAACCATTTAACCCTTTGTTCAAATAACTAATAAAAAAAATTTACACAGCGTTAGGGTTGGTGATATAGCTCAGAAGAAGGGAGATTAGCAAGTTTGAAGTGCTGGGTTAAATCTCTATCAGCACAAAACAAACATCAAGTTAAGATGGTTACATTATATTCATATACTTAGAGACTATAAATATATAAGGTAGTCACATAAGCTGTACTGTATTTTTCTTTTTAAGGAAGACCAGAGTGGTGAATAATGACAGCAACACACATACCGGAGTTTCTGTAGTGGAGGTGGCTGGCTGCTGTAAGGACTGCTGACGAGATTCTTCTGACTGAGTCCTAACCAATCCACTGCCATGGCCTTTTACAGTATCACCGTTGGCAACTGGAGGATGTTGCTGGGTCAAAGCAGCTTTTAATCTCTGAAATGCAAACACTATTTTAAAAATTGGTTCGCCCTGTTACATGCAAATCTAACTCTCAATATACTCTTCAACTAACTAAAAAGTAAAAAGACAGTGTTTGCCAAGGAGGACATAAATACATTTGGCTTCAAAATTTGCTTTCATTTATTTCATTTCACTGTGTTATAATAAACACCAGTATGACAAACTAGGGCTTTGGGAAGCTTCTCTTTATCTAGCACAACAACGGGATTTTATACATTGTTGCACTTTATTCTGAAAAGACTGAAAACATGAAAATATTGTATCCAGCATTGTTACACAAAAAAAGAAAGAAAAAAAAAAAGTAACACCAACTATCTGTATGTTTTCACCTAACCTCTCCCACCCTAAGCCCATACCCTTAACAGCCTTTGTCCAGATTCTAAGATTTAATACTCTTCTTTTCCAGACAGGTCTATTTGATCTCTTTTCAAGTTTTCAGTATTGACTAGGATGATGGCCCGATGCTGTGTTTTAAACATATTTGTGTGTGTGTACACATGTCACACATAGAGGATAATCTTTTAGAAGGAGGTCCTCTCCTCCTAACATGGATTCCAGGGTTGAAAGCACTTTTACCTGATGAGCCATCTCTATAATCTGGTGTTGCATTTTTTAGGCCCCTTTGATAATCTGTCATGCGGAAGAATTTAACATTTAAATCCAGGGTTCTTTTCATTCCTAGTATGAAAACCAGTCCCTCTCCACTTTAAGATTTACTTATCAAAACAACCCTGTACAATAAAGGAACTTCTGGAGGCATCACCATCCCTGACTTCAAGTTCTATTACAGAGCTATAGTCCTGAAAACAGCTTGGTATTGGCAAAAAAACACACAGACCAAGAGAATAGAGTTGAAAACCCTGATATTAACTCACACACCTACGAATACCTGATTTTTGACAAACAATCCAAATTTATACGATGGAATAAAGAGAACATCTTCAACAAATGGTGCTGGCGTAACTGGATGCGGACACGTAGAAGACTGCAGTTAGACCCAAGCCTATAGCCATGCACAAAACTTAAGTCCAAATGGATCAAAGACCTCAACATAAATCCAGCCACACTGAACCTATTAGAAGACAAAGTGGGAAATACCCTTGAATTAATTGGTACAGGAGACCACTTTCTGATTACACCAGTAGCACAGACACTGAGATGAACAGTGATAAATGGGACGTCCTGAAACTGAGAAGCTTCTGTAGGGCAAAGGACACAGTCAGCAAGACAAAAAGCAGCTCACAGCCTGGGAAAAGATATTTCACCAACCCCATATCTGACAGGGCTGATCTCCAAAATATACAAAGAACTCAAGAAGCTAGTCCCCAAAACACCAAACAACCCAATTAAAAAGTGGGGTACAGAACTAAACAGACAACTCTCAATAGAGGAATCTAAAATGGCTGAAAGACACATAAGAAAGTGTTCAACATCCTTAGCCATCAGGGAAATGCAAATCAAAACAACTCTGAGATACCATCTTACTCCTGTCAGAATGGCCAAAATCAAAACACCAATGACAATTTATGCTGGAGAGGATGTGGAGAAAGGGGAACACTTCTCCACTGCTGGTGGGAATGCCAACTTGAACAGCCACTTTGGAAATCAGTATGGCGTCTCCTCAAGAAAATGGGAATCAGTCTACCACAAGATCCAGCAATTCTACTCTTAGACATATACCCAAAAGAAGCACATTCATACAACAAGGACATCTGTTCAACGATGTTCATAGTAGCACTATTTGTAATAGCCAGAAACTGGAAGCAGCCTAGATGCCCCTCAAAACTGAAGAATGGATAGAGAAAATGTGGTACATTTACACAATGGAGTACTACTCAGAAGGAAAAAAAAAAAAAAAAAAACAATGGAAATCTTGAAATTTGCAGGAAAAAGGATGGCACTAGAAAAAACCATTCTGAGTGAGATAACCGAGTCACAAAAAGACAAACATGGTATGTACTCACTCATATATGAATTTTAGACATGAAGCAGGGGATTGCAAGCCTACAATCCTACTGGCAGAGAGTCTGGGAAACAGGAGGACCTTAAGAGAGATATGCATGGTACCCGGGAGAAGGGAAAAGGGTCAAGATCCCGAGCAAATTGGGAGCATGGGAAGGGGGGAGGGAGCTAGGAAATGAGAAGGGAAGAAGAGGAGGGAGTAAGGAGGACATGACGGGGCATGGAGATTGAGTCAGGGGAAGAACAGAAGATAACAAGAATGGAGATACCATAATAGAGGGAGACATTTTAGGATTACAGAGAAATCAGGCACTAGAGAAATGTCTGGAGATCTACAAAGATGACACCAGCTAACAATCTAAGCAACAGAGGAGAGGCTACCTTAAATGCCCTACCCTGATAATGAGATTGATGACTGACTTATATGCCACCTGATAGCCCTCATGCAGCAGCTGGTGGAAGTAGAAGCAGACACCCACAACTAATCACTGAACTGAACTGGAATCCAGATGCAGAGAAGGATGAGTGAAGTGCAAAGGGATCCAGACCAGGCTGGTGAAACCCACAGAAACAGCTAACCTGAACATCGGGGAACTCTTGCTCCCCAGACTGATAGCTGGGATACCAGCATGGGAATGACCCAGACCCCAGGAACA